ACTACAATACCAACAAGTGATTAATAAAAGTCAAAAGACCAAAGAGGTCACCTTAATACCAAAAAAAAAAAAAATAATAATTTGTCACTGGCACTTTGGAGAGTCACTTTGGCCAATTCTTCAGATTATTTGTACAAACACAGAGAACAAAAGTATTAGAATTTTTGTAATAATAAAATAGTTTTTGTTCTTAGATGATCAATACTTTGTTAGAGTATATTAATATATATATATATACATACAATGGTAATACTATTGTTATTTTTTTTTGAATTTGATTAATAAAATACTGTAATTGTTGGAATTTCAATTTAAAAATCTGAATTTAAATTTAAAGCTAAAAATTACCAATTAAATAAATTTAGATATAAAAAATAATTTTAGTTCTGAACTCTATTCTAGATTTAAAAAGCACAATAGATTAAGGAAGGTTATTATTCATGGTGAAGCAAAAAGTGCACTTCTAGAAACTTTACTTGCAGAATGTATTAAACTACAAGAGCTTCTCTCTCATTATGATCCTGAAGATATATATAATACTGATGAAATAGGTTTATTTTATTATTTGCTCTTTAATCAGATTTTTTTCAAAAAAAAAAATTAACTGAAAAAAAGATAATGAATTAAAAAATACAAAAAGTGTAACAGAGTAAAAACCTGAAGGTGAATAATTAACTTTTCATTATGATGAACTTATTCTGTAAAAATTATAATGCTATATATACAAATACATAGTATTATAATTTTCATGGCATAAGTTCATCATAGTGAAAAATTAAGTTTTATTTTTAGGTTTTTACTCTGCTGCACTTAAGCCAGTTTTTTTAAATTATTTAAATAATTTAAAGTTTTTTTTGTCTTAGAACAAAACTAGAATAATGATGTTACTTTGCTCTAACTTAACTGGTTCCAATAAGTTATATTCACTAGTTATTAACACTTTTAAAAAACCATGATCTTTTAACAGAATAAATATATTGCAACTATTAGTAATATATAAAAATAATAAAAAAGCATAGATGAGATCTGAGATTTGGGAAAATTAGTTAAAATTCATTGATAATAGATTCCATATTCAAGATAAACTAGTTTTGCTTCTTGTTGATAATGCAGCTTCTCACATTTTTCTGAAAGAAAACAATACAATTGAAGCACAAGACAATGATGCAGAATCTGCACTAGAAAATAATTCTGATGAAGAAATTGATGATCTTAATAACTCTGGAGAAGGCCACAGAGAAGGCTACAAAAAAGGTCACAAGGAAGGCTGTGAGAAGGATCTCAAAAAACTGATTCTATCTATTCTGACCAGTTGCAAAGAATTTCAGATAAATTTTGTCTTATGAATGTCATAGTATATTTTCTTCTGTCACTTACAACTGCACACCTTTAACCTATATATGCTAGTGTTATTAAAAGCTTCAAGTCAAAATACAAAAATATTTATTGTTGCTATTTACTCAACTAATTTGAAAAAAATAAAAAACAAATGTAAGAATTTATTTATTTTCATATTTAGCTACTTTTTACTAAAAATTTTACAAAATATAAAAAACTTATTCTAAGAAAGTCCATCAATTTTATCTCTGATGCTTGGGAAGAAGTCACTAAAACTACAATATAGTAGAGATGACAAATGCTTTTTTTATTATTATATAATTAAAAAATAGGTGATGATTATATGATCTATACCATATTATCCTAAAATAACATCTTGGGCTATTATTTCAGGATATGCAATTTTTAAAGAGCTAAAAATTAATTTTGATGAAGATTTAATAAATAAAATTACTGTTTAACTCTTCAGAGATTGCATATTCTAAAATAATGCCTAGGCATTATTTTAGAATGATACAATTAGAATTAAAAATTACATTTTACAATTTTATATTTCATGTAATTTTGCATAAGTTTTAGTAACATAAATTACATGTAAATTTCATATGTGATATAAACTACCAGCATTATAAAAAACTTAGCTAGCATTATTGAACTACAATAGACTCTACATATACCATAAACTTTATAAAATTATGCAAAATTATGTAAAATTATATAATTTGACAATCTAGATACAATGTATTACTATGCTTAATTCAGATTTTATAATCATCACCTATTTTAAATCATAAAAAAATAGGTTTAATCTGTTTTTTATTTTATTATTATTCCTACTATCCCTTAAACTATTTGAAATTCAGAGCAAATTTGCCCTGAAATTTTCCAAATTATATATATTATAACCATGTGTACAAAATAATAGCAAACATGATATTATCTTTATATCACAATATAAAAATCAATATAAAAATAATATTTATTTTATTATTTATGTTCATGATACTCAATAAAACCATCTGGATGTTGTATATTGAGACATAAAGGCACATTACATACTGTGCACCACACCTGATTTTGTGGTGAATTTTTATTATGTTTTTCTTGTTTAGCCATATTTTTAAACTGGCACCAAACACAGGAACCCCTCTCTTTCTTAGAACGATATACTGGATAGTGACTTCATGGATGTAATTATTCAATAGGTAAGTCAAATTTTTTTGTAACATAAAATGATCTTTGTAAATCTTGATCCTTCTGTAATCCTAACTGAATCATTGCTATTTTTTTCTGTGTATGTAAATTTTGACCCATTTCAAGTGATTCTTCCACCAAATTCTATACTAAATTTATCTGAAAATCTTTATGTACTGTTACCAAATTAAGCTTTTTGGAAATTAGGAAAGTATTAACGATGCTAGTATCCAGGAGCCAAAAAAATAATGGCATCCAGATGCGACGTACAGGAACTTGTACACCATAATAGCCCCTTAATTGGTCGGCTATATCAACACCACCCATATGATAGTTGTAATCATCTATTACAGCAGGTATGGGAAGAACTTTCTTACTTGCTTTACCAAATACACCACGTACTTTTATAGCATTTGTACTAGTTGTTCATGGCCTTCTTCTTTCTTTTTCTACTCGATTTTCATCATCTAAAATTTCATGTATGGTTGTTAACATTGTTACTGGCCTGTTATCCATCCAAAACACAACCAAAACATCATTAACAACAGCACCAGAAAGAGTATCCCATTCTAATTTCTGCAATTTTTTTATTTTTAAGCAAGTAGGAAACTTTGATGTATTTGTTCTTACTGTTCTGCAACCACCATACCTATTTTTTCGCATATGACTAAATAAACTAATACTCATAAAAAAATTATCCATATAAATATCGTATGCTTTGTTATTCAGAAGTTAAGATATCAAATGATAAATTTGCCACCTGATTTTATTAACATTCAGAATTAAATTAATTTCAGAATTAGATTCTACAGATTCAATACGAGAAGTAAAAACAAAACAATACATATATTCTGAATCACAAAGCAAAGGTATTTTGTATCCTTCTGGTATAGGTTTATTTTTGATTTGCACTATATGACTACTTCTCTCTCGAAATCTGGCGACCATTTCATCGATTGAAACTTGCGATTTTGGTAAATATATCGATTTAGAAACTTTTAAGATATGTGTAGATAAAGGCTTAATTTTAGAATACCATGGTAATTGAGATGATTTTGTTTCAATATTTGCAATATGAAGATATCGTTTTATTTTTATTTTTTTAAAAAATAAAATAAGCATAAATTCAAATAAAATTAAAAATAACTAAAAATAAACGTAACTTGTTCAAACCGAACTAAAGTTATATATTTGGTAATTCTATGTTGCAGATATTTCCAATCCATTTTCCAATAATCTTCTCTACTCGGTAACTTAAAAACACTCATGTAAATTATTAGGGCAAACCATATTAATAATTCTTCAATCGTTAAAGAAATCCATTCATATCCTTTACTAGCCGATTTTGCAATTGCATAATAATTCATATTTTTAATAACAGTAGTTAATTGTAGATCAGAAAAAAAAAACGAAAAATCAAATATAGAGTAATTTCACCAACAATTAATTTGTCAGCTACTTTTATTTGAGAAGTATGGTAAGGTTTATCATGTTGAAATTTTTGAAATAACAGTGCTAATGGTAAATTAAACAAATTTGATTGAGATGCTTTTTTTTTTTTTGTATAACTATTTTTATTAATTCTTTTCTTATTTTTAATGTTCACAGTCTCCTCTTCAGCTTCATCATCAGTATTTTCTTCTGTTTCATCAAAAATTTCATCTTCATCACTATTGTGATCAGTAAGATCTCTAACTTCATTTTTGATTTCATTCTCAATATTTCGCATAAGCTCAAAAGTATATGCATCATTATCTTCAGTATCGTCGTCCATATTTGATGTTTAAAAAAAAATAGTAAAGTGGTATGTAAGAAAAATAAAAAAAAAATTTATGATGATTGTGATCGACAAAGCTAATTTGTAATAGATGACGATCGAACAATAAGCCAAAAAAAAAGAACAATACTTTTATGTGACACTAAAAATAAATGAATTTCCAAATAAGTAAAAATCAGGATTTTCTGATTAGATAGGTAAAACCTTAATTTTTACTGTATTACAAGTACTACATGGATTAACAAATCAAATTTCAAAATTTCAGGGCAAATTTGCAAAAGAAACGGTTTAAGGGATAAGGAATTGCTGAAGAGCTACTAGAATTATGCCAAAAATAAGTAAACCAGAAAAATATAAGTCAAAAAATGAATCTGAACATAAAACCATTGAGATTAATAATACTATTACACTGGTTAGCAATCTTTTACCTGAAACCAATCTGATAGCACAGAAATTAAGAAGCAATATTGATGAATTTATCTATATAATTGACCAACCAACTGTGACTAAGAACATATTGACTAATGAAGGCATTATTAAAACAGTGTTGGATGAATTTCACAAAGAAGAGAATGAGAAGAGGAGAAGAATAACAATGATGATGAACTACTTCTACTTTCAATAACCATGACTGAGGCTATTAAGGCATTAGAAATGGTTATAAAATACCAAAAAAGTCTTAAAGCTGGAAATGGGTTTAATAAAAAAGGTTAATTATATTACGAAAAAGACTCAAAGAATAAAGATCTGAAAAAGAAAAAGCTAAAAAGCAGTCTTCACTTTTATTTTTTTTTTAGAAATAATAATGCTGTATTCTGGATTTTTTTTTTTTAATCTTATTTATACATATATACATTATTTGGTTAGCTGAGACATCAAAAGTATTCTGGTTATAGAAATAAAAAGCAATTTGCTTAAAAAAAAAAAACTTAAAATTTTAAAGTCAAGTCATAAAGGTAAATTATGATCTTATTGTATAATAGAACTTTAATTTACTTTAACTTGTCATAGCTATGGCTAATAAAAAGAATTAAACATTTGAATATAAAGACAGACCTAAATATAAAAAAACCATATTTTACTTAGATTACAAAATTGTTAGCCTTATATAATAAAATTCACATATATATATATATTTGTAAACTAATAATTATTTACAATATATCCTAATAACAAGCACATTTAACCAACAAGAGAAACCATTGATGTTACATAACTGATCCTTAAAAAAATCATTTAACAATACCAGATTATTTTGCTAGTATATGTTATGATTATAATCCAACACTATTTTATTATGATAAAAATAATGTTGAATTATAATTATAAGATATACTAAAGAAATAATCTGGTATTGTAAAATGATTTTTTTAAGAATTAGTCATGTAATATCGATAGTTCTTTCTGTTCATTTAACTAGCTAAATATACTTTTTGCTATTGATTAACATTGCAGCAAATTTATGAAATACTCCAAAATTTAAAAAATTTAACTACTAATATGTAAATATAAATTTTGGCTAAAAGAATTAACATTTCCAAGTTGTAATACATCATATTAATAAATTTATATATCTAATAAGATGTATCAGAAGTGGGAAAAATAGGTTAGCATATGGGAAAGATGAGTAGACATGTTATCAGTCTAGATCAGAGGTTCAAAAAATTTTTTGGGATTTATATTTATAGTTTAATATGTTAATTTAGCAACTAAAATTTAAATCTAGGAAACAAATGCTTGGTTTTGATAACTGAATTTTAGCTAAATTTTATAAATTCATCATGGTAAGGTGCATAAAAGTGTTTATATAATTTGACTTTAAAGTTAACTCATTTTCATATAATAATACCATATACAGAAATGTAATTTTAAATATTAGCCTAAATTAAACTTAATTTAGACCAAAATCAAAATAATACTTATAGTAAAAAAAATTATTTTAAAATATGACTTTATTGAAGGAAGTTTTATATAAAAATTATATAGATAGTTAATAAAAAAATATGATAGTGACTATAAGGCAATTGTGCTTATACAAAGGTAAAAACAATATTAAAAAAGTTGGTAAAAATATAAATATAATTATATTGATTTTGTAACTATAGAGAAGATGACTATAGAGGAGTCTGACTGTATATAGAACATGGCATACCACCAGAGGTTACCTTATATTGAAGGTTACAACTAGCTACACATGTATTTTTGATACCTAATTTAAGTAGTCTGCTTATATATTACTATATAAGTTCTATACTAGATGCCATATCTGCAAGCCAACTAGAGGTCTTGCTTATTTAAACCCTCTGCATATGCAATCCTTTTTGTATCATAAGAACATCTTTAAGACTACACTCATCCAAGTTTCTAATGCTGGTCAATACTCTTAGAACTATTTTATTCTTAACAAAAAACTTATTAAAGCTTTTATATTCTATATATACTAATTTAGTTTTATGCAATATATTATAATTATCTAACACTTGCAATTACAAAAATTATCTGTTTAACTGCTATATTACACTATTTTTATTTTTGTAAAATTCACTAAAATTCTAGTACTTATCTTCTTGGCATCTTCTTTATTATTTTCTACTAGCTGCAACTTAGAACTATTAGTTTTATTTCAGACTACTAATATAAATAGCCCAGTATAATATACTTTTATATTTTTTTTCTTTAGCAAGTCTGGTGGTCTGATTGGTTATATACTTCTTTACATATACTTGTTGTCTAGTTTTAACTTTCAGTTCTTATGAAGGTGTTTTATAGGCTTCAACTAGTTTAATAATACTGTTAAAAGTTTATACTACCTCTTTACTTAGAAATTTCTAAGTAGGTTTCTCTCATCTTGGTTTCTTAGTCTTCTATGCCTAGTAGTTTATTGTGGATTTGACCAAAGTCTTATGCAATACTGGTTATATATTCTTCTATATATGTGTAATATTACATTTTATATAGATGCTCTAAGCTCTTAATATCAGTAGAACCCAACTTGATGTACCTAAGTTACAACTACATAAGGCCAACTAATCAACAAAAGACAGTTACTATAATGCAAATATAATTTCCAAATTTTGGCATAGGTGGGATTTAAATCTTAAACTTGCTACTTGGAGAATAACAACTTAATTACTGTATTAGAATTACTATTCTTAGTAGTAAGTATTTATAAACTTGAACATTTTCTTTTAAATACTTAAATAAATGTTTTTTATAATTACATGCTAAGTTAATATGATTAAATTTTTTTTTTTTTAAATATTAAAGTAAGTACTTGTGATTCAAAATTTTATTGATAGTATATTTGGTTAATGGTTGCATTACAACTACAGAAAGCAATCATAAAAAGAGTATACAACTAGCCACTTGTACAACTTTAGTCATTATCTAATTTAAGTAGTCTGCCTGAAGGTTTTATACTAGTTGCCATATCTGAAACCTGCCTGTAGGTTTCCTATTTAACCATTCTAGTTTCTGTATCCACCTACCTACCTCTGCCTACCAACAACCCTAACTAATACTAGTGAAAATATGCCATAGTCACTAAGTCTTTAAAGCAGTTTACTTATATAAGAAACCTTTAACCTTGTATTAAACCTTTTAAAATCTTCTGTATTTCATTCTTATAGTGTTGAAGACAGTAGGTTAATGTTTTTTTGGTTTTATAATAGGGGCAAGAAAAATGTGACAGATTGTCACTCGAAAATACCAAACATTGCAAAACATTGCACCACAAAAGAGGCAGAACGATTTGGCAAGGCTAAGGCGTAAGTGCAAGGTCTTGGTTTATTGCTATTGACAGTTTTTTATTATTAATACGAATGTTGACTCTCTTTATTCTCTCTCAAAAAAAGGCACTTATATACAAGAATAGCACCCTACAAAAAGAGACGGCACAGGAGCTCAATATCCAATATTTTTTCACTAAACTCAACAGTTTCAGATTCGTCATTATGATCAGGACCTTGAATGGCCTCATGCAGCACAAACAACTAGCCCAATCTGGCAGATCTCCCCTAACAAACAGCTATAGTACCCAATTCTGCATCATTATAGCATTGTTTCAGATGGGTGGCTTGGCTTCCAAGTTTCTCA